TTTGGAGAAACAGGATTCAAGAGTCCAGGAGGCAGAAATACATAAGATGAGAGATACAGTGAGGGAAATGAGTGATAGAGGGGAAGTATATGAGGCTGTGCTCATTTTAATGCCATTCATTTAATGCCAAGAAAATACAGGAAAATGCACCAGTTCAGGCTGGGCACCTTCACCAAGATGTAGCTGTAAGTTCCATTCATATCTTGACCTACTTCTTAATTCTGAAATTACTTTCTCTTAAACACAAAATCATAGGGATACAATAAATCGAAACATTTGCCTCACTGTTTATGTAAAATAGAGGCTTTAGAAACATTCTTTGCTTTTCAAAGTAGCCAATTCTGAGGATCAAAAACACATCTTTGTAAAAAGCTCTCTTTTTTTGCTATTCAACATTAAATATATGTGTGCATGTGTTTGTATGAATATATATTTCTCTACCTAATGTAATTTAAAATCTAAACTAAAATATTGAGTAAGACTAGTGTCTTTGAATACCTAGTTTATTAGTTGTTTCTGTGTAAAATATTTCCCCCAAAACATATTGGCTTAAAGCAACAAAACTGCATTATCTCAGAGTTTCTTTGGGTCAGGAAATTGGGAGTGGCTTAGCTGGGTAGTTCTGAGTCAGACTCCTGTGCTGCAGTCAGGATGCTGGTGTAGGCTGCAGTTCCTGGGTGGCTAGGCTGGGCTGGAGGACCTGCTTCCAGGACAGCTCACTCACGTGGCTTTTGGCAGAAACCTCAGTTCCATACCACATGGGCATCTCCACAGGTTGCTTGAATGGCAGCTCACTTTCTCCAGAGCTGAGGATTGGTAAGAGAGGGGAGGAAGCCTCCATGCCATTTATGACCCAGTCACACACTGTCGCTTCAGCCATGCCTATTCTTTAGAAGTGAGTCACTAAGTCCAGCACACTCAAGGGGAGACAAGTTAGGCTTCAGTTTTTGGAAGGAGTTGTGTTGAAGACATTGTGGAATTTTTTAAAACCATCACAAGAACAAAATACCACTCAATTCAACAGAGTGTTTTATTTCTGGGGACGTTTCCTTTGCCCTTTTCCAAGTGTTTTCTTTCTGTACAATTATGTTCGCTTTCTTTATATGTCACACTTCCTTGTAAAAGTGAACCCACTTAAATTGGATACTCCACGAATGAAAAATGTAGTGATACAAATAATAGGTCAATGGCTTCAATGTTAATTCTAGGCATAAGTCCAAAATGAATTTCCAAAGCATGAGACTCTTGAAGAGGAAACAGATTTCAGTGTTCCTTGGATATAAGGAAAATATTTATTTATTGACTTAGATATATTTGAAATATAACATTATATAAGTTTCAGATGTAAAATGTAATGATTTGATATTTGCATGTATTGCTAAATGATCACAAAAAATCTAGTTAACATCTATTACCACACATAATTACAAATTTTTTCCCCCTGTGATGAGAACTTTTAAGATCTACTCACTTAGCAACTTGCAAATATACGATACAGTGATAAAACTCTAGTCACTATGTTATACATTACATGACCGTGAGTTAATTATTTTATAATTGGAAGTCTGTACCTCTTGACAACCTTCACCATTTTGTCCACTCCATCCATGCCCTGCCTCCTGCAACCACCAATCGTTCTCTGTATCCATGAGTTTTTTGGTTTTTTTTTTAGATTCCACATATAAGTAGAGATCATACAGTACTTGTCTTTCTCTGTCTGCCTTATTTCACTTAGGATAATGCCCTCTGGGTCCATCCGTGTTGTCACAAATGGCAAGATTTCCTTGATCTTTATAGCTGAGTAATATTCCATTGTATATATACACGTTTTCTTCATTAATTCATCCATCAGTGGACGCTTAGGTTGCTTCCATGTCTTGGCTTTTGCCAACAATGCTGCAATGATCATAAGGTTACAGATATCTTTTGGAGATAGTGATTTCTTTTGCTTCAGATAAATACCCAGAAGTTAAATTGCTGGATCATATGGTAGTTCTATTTTTATTTTCTGAAGAACTTCCATTCTGTTTCCCATAGTGGCTACACCAATTTACATTTCCGCCCAACAGTTCACAAGGGTTCCCTTTTCCAACCCAATACTTGTTATCTCTTTTGTTTGATGATACCGTTCTAACAGGTGAGAAGTGATATCTCATTGTGGTTTTGATTTGCATTTCCCTGATGATTAGTGATGTTGAGCATCCTTTCATGTACCTGTTGGCCATCTGGATGGCTTCTTTGGAAAAATGGCTGTTCATTTCCTCTGGTTATTTCTTAAATAGATTGGTTTTTGTTTTTGCTATAGAATTATGAGTTCTTTTCGTATATCGGATATTAATCCCTAATTAGATATATGATTTGCAAATATTTTCTCCCATTTGGTAGGGAGAACCACATTTGTTGATGGTTTCCTTTGATGTGCAGAAGCTTTTTAGTTTAATATAGTCCCACTTGTTTATTTTCATTTTTTGTTGCCTTTGCTTTTGATGTCAAATGAAAAGTCATCTCCACGACTGATGTGAAGGACCTTACCCTCTATGTTTTCTTCTTTGAGTTTTATGGTTTCAGGTCTTAGTTCAAATCTTCAATCCAGTTTTGAGTTAATTTTGTTTTGTCCAGATTCGTTCTTTTGCAAGCGGCTGTCCAGTTTTCCCAATGCCATTCATTGAAGAGACTGTCCTTTCTCTGCTATATATTCTTGGCTCCTTTCTCTCGACTTGTTGACCATCTATGTGTGAGTTTATTTCTGGGCTCTATGTGTCTGTTTTCATGCCAATATCACACCGTTTTGATTGCTATAGCTTTGCAATATAGTTTGAAATCAGGAAGCAGGAATCCTCCAGCTTTGTTCTTCTTTCTTAGGATTGCTTTGACTTTTTGGACTCTTTTGTGGTTCTAAACAATTTCAGGATTGTTTGCTCTATTTCTGTGCAAAATGACACTGGAATTTTGAAAGGTTTTGCTATGAATCTGTAGATTGCTGTGGGTAGTATGGACATTTGAACAATATCAATTCTTCCAATCCATGAGCATGGAATATCTTTCTGTTTGTGTTTTCTTCAATTTCATTTATCATTTTCTTATAGTTTTCAGTATATAGGTCTTTCACCTCATTGGATAGAGTTATTCCTAGGTATTTTATTCTTTTGATGCAATTGTAAGTGAGATTGTTCTCTTATTTTCTTTTTCTGATAGTTCATTATTAGCTTATAGAAATGCAACAGGTTTTTATATATTGATTTCGTATCCTGTAACTTGACCAAATTTGTTTATCAGTTGGAACAGATTTTTGGTGAATTCTTCAGGGTTTTCTATAGTATAACACCATGTCATCTGCAAACAATGATGGTTTTACTTGTTCCTTTCCAATCTGGATGCTTTCTTTCTTTTTCTTGCCTAATTGCCCTAGCTTGCTCTAGTTGGACTTCCAATACTATGTTGAATAAAACTGGCAAGAGTGACCATTCTTGTCTTGTTCCTGACCTTAGAGGAAAAGCTTTCAGCTTTTCACCATTGTGTGTGGTGTTGGCTCTGGGCTTATCATATATGGCCTTTATTATGTTGAGGTACTTTCCCTCTATACCCACTGTGTTGAGAGTAAAGTAAATTCTGAATGTTGTCAAATACTTTGTCTGTATCTATTGAGGTGATCATATAATTTTAATCTTCATTTGGTTAATGTAGCATATTGCACTGATTGATTTGGGAATGTTGACCCATCCTTGCATCCCTGGAATAAATCCCACTTGATCATGGTGTATGATCATTTCGATGTATTGTTGAATTTGGTTTGCTAATATTTTGTTGAGGATTTTTGTGTCCATGTTCATCAGGAATTGTGGCTGGTAATTTTCTTCTCTTGTGGTGTCCATGTTTGGTTTTGGAATTAGGGTAATTCTTGCCTTGTTGGAGACCATGAGTTTGGAAGCATTCTCTCGTCTTCTATTTTTTTGAAGAGCTGGCATTTATTCTTCTTTAAATATTGGGTAGAATTCAGTAGTGAAGTCATCTTGTCCTGGACTCTTCTTTAGGGGAAGTTTTTGGTTACTAATTCATTCTCCTGACTACTAATCTGTCTGTTCAGATTTTCTATTTCATCTTGATTCAGTCTTGGTAGGTTGTATGTTTCTAGAAATTTATCCATTTCTTGTAGGTTGTCCAATTTCCTGGTATAATTGTGCAAGTTATCTCTTATTATCCTTTGTATTTCTGTGGTATTTGTGAGAATGTCTCCTCTTTCATTTCTGATTTTATTTATTTGAGTCCTCTCTCATTTTATCTTGGTGAGTCCATAAAAGCTTTGTCAATTTTGTTTATCTTTTCAAAACACCAGCTCTCAGTTTTCTTGATCTCTTCTATTGCCTCTTTGTCTCTATTTCCAGTCAGATTTTTGTTATGTCCTTCCTTCTACTAACTTTGGGCTTTATTTTTTCTTCTTTTTTTAGTTCTTTTTTCTCAGGATTCCTTTGGATATTTGGGATCTTTTGTTGTTCCATATAAATTTTACGATTCTTTGTTCTATTTCTGTGAAAAAGGTTGTCGGAACTTTGGTGGGGATTACAACGAATCTATAGATTGCTTTAGGAAGTATGGACATCTTAACTATGTTAATTCTTCAATCCAAGAGCATGGAATATCTTTCCATTTCTTGGTGTCTTCTTCAATTTCTTTCAGCAATATTTTATAGTTTAGTTTTCAGTGTACAAATCTTTCACCTCTTTGGTTAAGTTTATTCCTAGGTATTTTATTCTTTTGTTGCAATTGTAAGTGGGATTGTATTCTTAATTTCTCTTTTTGCTTCTTCGTTGTTAGTGTATAGAAATGCAACTGATTTTGTATATTGATTTTGTATCCCAGGCAGCAGCTTGTAAAGTATACAAATATACCTCTTTCAGGGGAAGACTGGGATATGGGAACTTCTGCCTGCTCCTTCTGAGCTGAGCTGTGGGTATTGGCCAGTGAAGACCTGTTTGCTTCTCTGCTTCTGTCCTGTTGAACTCATGAACACAAGCCCCAGTGGCCACCAGAGCCAGACAATCAAGTGGAGATCCCTGGGCAGTAGCCACAAAAACTGGGGCACCATATGTAAAATCCAGGACACCAGCTCCCTTCCAGGAACTCCTAGCACTCTTGAGCTTGGTAAATGGAGAGCATGAAGAAAGCACTTGCTCTCCATGGTCTCTGGAGAGAGGAATACAGTCAGCCTTTAGTTGTGTGTTTAATTAGAAATCTTCCTCTCAGTCCTCAGCTATGAAGATAGGCTAATAGGCCTCTTTCACAGTAAGAACAGACTCGCCAGTATCTTGTCTCTACTGTTCCCTGGGTTGGTAGACAGTTAAAAATGTTTTCTCCCTTTGTTACAGTCCTGTGGGACTGTGAGCATAAGCCCCATGGGCCACCAGAGTGCAGTGATCCAGAGGTATCCCGTGGGATGCAGCAACAGAAATTGAGGCACCAAATGAGGGTACTGATACTGGCAAGCTGGAGCAAGGCAGAGGGAGAGCACACAGTGGTGTCCCCCAGCCTCAGTCCCTGGAGAGCACTTAGTAGGCCCCTAGATATGTCCCCAACCAGAAGACTGCCCCTCAGGCCAAAGCTCCAGGAAAAGCTAATAAGCCTCTTTCACAGGAAGACTGAGGTTGTATTTCAATCTGCATCTGCACTGTGCCATGTGGGTGGTAAGTGGCCACAAATTGTCTCTTCATTTGCTATAGTCCTGTGAGACCCATGACCACAAGCCCCACTGGCCACTAAAGCTAGGTGATCAAGGAACATCCCCTTGGTGGCAGCCAATAATCTGGTGCACCAGACATAAAAACTGGGGAACCAGACACTTGTACCAGCCCCATCTGGGAGTTAAGGGTGCTCTGGAGCATGGCAGAGGGAGAGTGTGAAGATAGCACCTCCTTCCAAGGTGTCTGGAGAGGATTAAAACAATCCTTAGATATGCCTTTAATTAGAAATCTGACCATCAGTCCACAGCAATGAAGGTGAATCTAATCGGCCTCTTCCACAGAAAGAGCCTGTTAGAAACTCTTTCTCCATTTGTTACAGTCCTTTGGAACCTGCAAGTGTAAGCCTTCCTGACCAGCAGAGCCAAGCAATCTAGACGCATCTCCTGGGTGCCAGCCATGAAAACCAGAGCGTCAAAGAAGGGTACAAGCTCCTTTCTGGGAGATGCTGGTGACCTGGAGTGAGGCAGAGGAAGAGCACAAAGATGGCATCCACTGTCCTCCATCTTTGGAGAGTATTTAAGTAGGCTCCTAGATGTGAGTTAATTTAAATTCCTGCTCCTCAGGCCCATGCTTTATGATAGGCAAATAAGCCTCTTCCACAGAAGGTCTGGGCCCTTTTCAGTTGCCTTCTTCTGTACTGGGTCCTGCGGTGGGTGAGTCCACTCATGTGGGTCCTTTAAACTCATTTCTCAGTTCACTATTTTTCTGTAGGTCTTGTGGACACAAGCCTTGTTGGCTTTCAAACCTAGATGTTTTGGGGGCTTGTCTCTCAGTTCTGAAAGTTCGGGTGCTAGATGTGAGTTTCAAACCCTTCACTCCTCAGGTAAAAGCTTGGGGTTTTGAGTTGCCTCCTGATTGTGGGTCACCACACTGAGGGTGAAGTTTATGGCGAGATATGTCCTGTCTCAACTACCCACTTCGGTGTACGTTTTTCCACTTTTGCCTGATGTATAGGAGTCACTCAGCTAGCTTTTGTTTTTTTGTCAGAAGAAATTTGTTCTGCATGTAGCTGTAAGTTTGATGTGTCTGTGGGTGGAGGTGAGTTCCGGGTCCTCCTACATTGCCATTTTGAACCAGTTACATAAGCAAAATATTTAATCATGTTTATGATTGGTTTTTGAAAATGATAGATCAGCCCAACTGTATCTGGATCTCAGCAAGGTTATTCTACAAGGGACTTTCTGAAGTTCTTGTGGACAAGATTTGGAAATAGATGAGTTAGATGGTTTCTAACTCATTAAATAGTTAATTTGTATTGTAGTTTTTAATTTCATTAAATAACCTATCTCATTCTCAGATGCAGGACTTTGTTCTTAGGCATACTCCATTACTCGTTTGTGTTATCAAACAGTTTAATGATTTAGAGGAAATGCAGTGCAAATTCACAACTGGAATGATAGAGCGTGTAATGTAGTGAATCTCATTAGCACAGATTCATCATTCAAAAAGAATCCTTTATGCTAGGTTGAATCTGATAACGTGACATTTAACTATAAGATCCTGGGCTTGGGTCAAAGGAATTAGCTGCAGAAATATAGACAGATTGAAACAATTTCAAAAATTAGTCTTATTTCGATCAATTTTGAGATCAGTTTGAGTCAAAAATATGAGGGAACCACCATAACTGCTAATGAGGCCACATCCTGCACTGGTAGAAGTGTAAGAGGTAGAAGGAGGCTGTTCTAAGTCCTGCCAGCATCAGTGCTGATCAGACCATATGTGGAATGTTATATTTGCTTCAGAAATGAGCTTGTTGGATGGTAAAGACAGATTTAAGTGTTCCCGAATGAAAGAGAAAAAATAGCAACGGGGCTCAGTCCTGTGACAATAATAACACCTACTTTTAATTTGACCTCCTGTGATTACCTTTTGAAAAGAAATCTCACTGAAGTATTTCATTTATTTCATATCCTTTGAAACACCACAATGAGGTAGATAACCATACCTGTTCTGAAATAAGACAACCAGCATTCTATTTTCTCCTCTATAATTTAATGGCAAATTTAATTCAGTTCCTTAAGACTAAGTTCTTGCAAATCTAAAGAGTTAAGCTTGCTCAAAATATAATTATTGTTAAATGACACACATCTTTACATATCATGATGAAATTCAGCCAAGAGTGAAGACAAAATACTCTGAATCTCCAAAAAGTGGTGGAGGAAAAAGCTAGAATTGCTTAAAGTGAATGAGACTAAATAGGCATTTTAATCTCAATATAAGAACCTTCAAAAAAGTGGAGATGGGCCGGCCCCATGGCTTGGTGGTTAAGTGCGTGCACTCCACCGCTGGCGGCCTGGGTTCGGATCCCGGGCATGCACCGACGCACCGCCGCTTCTCCGGCCATGCTGAGGCCCTGTCCCACATACAGCAACTGGAAGGATGTGCAACTATGGTGTACAAATATCTACTGGGGGGCTTTGGGGGAAAAAAAGGAGGAGGATTAGGCAATGGATGTTAGCTCAGAGCCAGTCTTCCTCAGCAAAAAGAGAAGGATTAGCACGGATGTTAGCTCAGGGCTGATCTTCCTCACACACACACAAAAAAAGTGGAGAAAACATCTATCAATGAAGAGAGTTATGGACTTTAAGGCAATAATCTATCCTTAGAGAATATATGATTCACAATTCTTTGATAAAGAGAGATGTTAGTATATGCAAGGATTCAAAGCTTGTAATCCACATAACAAGTCTGTAGAAACAACTTGAAAATTTCTCTAACCAAACGAAGAATAAAAGAGATCAGTGAACTTAAGGAAGATGAAGATGATAATGAATATTTGGTGTGTGTATATCTGTGTGAGTGTGTCTGTGTGTGTTTTTTAATATGTTCCATAAGGTTTATTAGAATAGAATCATATTTCATGGAAAAAACTTGTACAAGTCTGGTATTAAAAGTTCCAAATTATCTCAAAGTCATCCAGTGTAAGGGGCAGAATTTTATATAAAATATTATATATAAACGTGTTATAAACAACATAGCATTTAAACGTATGTGTTGAAATTATTTGCTATATTAGATTAACTCAACAAATTGTAATTCTATTATACCTCATTTAAAAATATTTATCAGACATTTAAAAACATGTCATTCTCCAATTAAAATTAGAAATAAACAATCATATGTTACTATAATCCTAACTATTTGGCTATTGAGAAATATTCCTATTTCATTTCTGTGGTTAAATAAAGAAAGTAAAACTTGCCTCAATGAGTGTTTTGAGGCATGAATAAGAATGATATTTTTCTGTATGATGTTATCAATGGAAAGTTTTTGTGCTTCTCTCTATTTCTTACATTGTTTGCAATAAATAGAAAACAAACTAATCAATGTTAATCCAAAAAAATAACAAAAACAAAAACCCCAGTATCTTCCTACATTGAGTTGGTTTGAGAAGAAAAGACAAGGCTCTGATTTCTGATGAGACTGGAAAGAAAGGAAAAGAAGACAGATGAGCTGAGTGATAAAATCAGTACTTTCATCTCTCAATCAAGATGCTCATTTAATCAACCAGGGCTAGGTTACATGTTCTCAAGGAGACTTCATTAAACAGATCTGTGCAGTTTTCTTCCTGCAGAGTCTTCATACAGTTCCTATATCATATGACCCACAGACATAATTTTATCTTCATTACCAAGGGCTTCCTCACACACTTCAGTCACCTGAATTTTATAACTTTTCTTGTCCTAGAAACTCTAATGCAATGAGTGTCATTATGCTGATAAGAGAATCTAATTCAACAATGAAACATTCATCTCGAATTTGATTTTTATTGAGGTAAAACATTATTTATACCAGTTTTATTATGGTTTTTTATTGCCAGTGAAGCCTTGTGATTTTCCAGAAATAAAACACGGACGTCTACATTATGAAGAGTATTATAAACCATACTTTCCAGTACCTATAGGAAAACAGTATTACTATTACTGTGATCAAAATTTTGTGACTCCTTCAGGACGTAGAGGGGGTTATCTTGATTGCAGACAAGAAGGATGGTCGCCAGCAGTACCCTGCCAAAGTAAGTAAACCTTTTTATAATTGTATATATACAAATATTTCAAAGAGTGGAGAGAGTAAACACGTAAGTGAATACAATTGAGTCTTATATGAAAAAAATAAGGCCAAAAGATGAGTTCTATGAGCAAAATGATCAATATAGATCTTTCCTTTCACAAGGAGCTCTTCACAAAAATCACGAGAGACAAAGATAGAAACTTTACAAGAACATCTATATCATTTATACGTATTTAAATTTAAAACTAAAGGTAAATAATATTCAGTATTAATTTTTTATTTTTAAAAAATGTTTGGTAGTAACTTTAGTTTTTCTTAAGTTATATATCATTTTTGGATGCTGATTCATTCCAATTTAAATATTGTAAAGATAAATTACTATTGGATGTAAAGATAAATTACTATTTAACATTACTATGTTAAATTACTATTTTTGCCAAATTTATGGGTGTTTAAGACTTTTCATTTATCATTTTTATGATCCTTAGGACAATGTATTTTCAATTACTTGGAGCATGGATATTATCCATATGAGGGAAAAAATTATTTACAGGGGCAATCTGTAAAAGTTGATTGCTATTCTGGCTACAGTCTTCCAGATGAGCAGACAATAATGACATGTACGGAGAATGGCTGGTCCCCTCCTCCCAAATGTATCCATGTCAGTAAGTACACTGGTCTGAAATCCCAATATGTTTATGATTTGCTAAGACTCATCTATATTACCTATGACAAAATGTTTATGTCAACTTCTTGTTTTATCAATGGACCTATTTGATTTTAATTTTTTCCAAGTGTGTATGAATGGATATAAAAATTTCTTGATACATATATAGCAAAATAAAGGAGCCAGCTGATAGACATTATTCAAGAAAATGGTAAAAGAGCCACAAAGAAGAAAGCTGTAATAAGAGAGTGATATCAGTGAGATGACAGAAAGGGAGTTTCTGTTTTCTTCCCCACAAAGAACACTGACTTTGACAATGACCCATGGACAAGAGCATCTTTTTGGGAGTTGAGGAATCTAGCAGAGACATATCAGCACTCCATTGGAGCAAAAGTATCCCAGATTGGGTGCACTGAAGAGGGTGAGAGGTCCAGTTTCATTTACCTTAATCACCCCTCCCCTACAGTGGCACAGCTCAGTGCCAAGAGAGATCCACGCGGCCCATGATTTTTTCACTGGGGGAAAGAAAGAGCCTATGAATGAGTGTTTGACCTCCTCAGCTGTGTGCATCACTGACAAAAGGGACCATTTCTACCCCAACACATCCAGAATACTGAGACGATCTGCATGACTGGCGGGTTTGGGAAGAGCTTGTAGCACAAGATATAGGCTCAGAATTCCTAAAGGGATGCAGATCCTACTAAGCACTTTACAGACTCCATCAAGAAGACTTCCATCTAGTCAGTGGGGACACCTTAATTGCAAACTCTGCTCAGGCACACACACCCCTAACACACTGCATATCTCACCCACACACTCCTCTCCCCGTCCCATGGCCAGTTCCCTGTGTACACTCCCAATATTAGTGAGTGAGAGCCTTTGTAGGTGGAAGTGCACACTCAGAAAGCCAACCTGACTCCACAGGGGTGGGGCAAAACAAACTTGACCATGTTGCATTGCCCCAGGGAAAGCAAACAGGAAGTTTTCAGCACCCAGACTGGCTTTGCAGGGTTGAGAGAAGGCATAGAAGGTAAGAAATCCCTCTCAAGTGGCAAGAAGATATGTGGAGCAGGTATGTTCATAAAAAAGGTCTGAAAAAGCCTCAGAATTCCTAGTAGGGGTGACAGAAGTTATTTCTTTTCCAAAATCAGTCAGTAAAGACTAGAGAAAGTGACTGCTTTTTCAAATGCAGAGACAGCAATGCAACAGTTCAAGAAACATGTCAAATCAAGTAAACATGACTCCACAAGAGGAGCAGAATAATTTTCCAGTAACTGACCCCAAATAATGAAGATCTATGATTTGCCTAATACAGAATTCAAAATAGTTACCTTAAGAAACCTCGTTTAGCTACAGAATAACACAAAAGGACAATTCAAGGAAATCAGGAATTTAATGAGACAGAAATCATATAAAGGACCAAAGTGAGTTTGGAGCTGCAGACTACAGTGAATGAAATGAAAAATACAATGAAGAGCATCAACAGCAGACTTCATCACACAGAAGAAAGAATACATGAAGAGAGAAATCAAGATGGTGGCGTAAGCAGACTCTGAACTCACCTCCTCCCATGGACACAGCCAATTTACAGCTACTAGGGGAAAAATTACCCCTAAGACAGAACTGAAAACTGGATAAGAGGAACTCCTGCAACAAAGGACAATCCTAATTGAGGTGGAAGAGGCAGAAACTCCCTTCTGGAGAGAAAAAACGTTGCCTTCACAAGCCGCCAGCTTCACAGCCGCCCGGAAGCAGCCCAAAGGTACGCAGCCCTCCCTGGAGGAGCAGAGCCCTGAGCCGGGGAGCACCCCTGCTGTGGGCGTTTTGTGGACCCAGCACAATTGAGATGAGTGGCGTAATATCTGACTTTGCCTGCTACTAAAACATTGGGGAGTACCCCCAGAAAAGCTGGTTCACAAAGAAATTAAAACCGGCTCTTAAAGGGCCTACGCGCAAACCCACCCATTTCAGAAAGCAGCGGAAAATCAGCAGAAAGAAAGGTACACAGTACTTTGGTGAAAAGAGACTCACCTGATAGGATCTCAGTGCATTGCAGTGAGAGGTGAGACCTCTCCAGGGACTGGGACATTGGCGGTGGCCATTGTTGTGGCCTGGTGTGGGCCTGCTGACACAGACACCATTGGAATTCTCTCTGGGGCCTGGTAGCCTAGGTCTGCCCGACCCACTGGAGCACTGATTTAATCCAGCTCTGCCAGGGCAGGCAGCCCCCTAGAGACTGGCCCCACCCAACAACAAGCCCTCAGGTAACTTGTGGGCCTGTGTAGATTGGTGAATGGATTCTCTGCAGAATGGCAACTGAGCCAACTTCAGTGGGGAAAGGCGTACAAAAGGAGTGGGTGGAGAGTGTGGGGCAGTGGTGGAGCGTGTGAGGCTCCCACCGTGGAGAGACTGGGTCCACTTCAGGAGGTCCGGGTGCACACAGGGGGCAAGACTGTGTTGACTGTGTGTGTGGACCTGTGGGTGGCAGGGCTTGTCAGCTGCAGAAGACTTGTGCTTCTCAAAGAGTGACAGAGGGGGTTTGCCCCACCTTCCAAAGTCTGAAACAATTGGGTGCTCCCGTGCCTGAGGCCAGCCCCACCCAGCTGCAATCCTCAGAGAGCTGACAAGAGACCTAAAGGCTGGAGGCTTATAGCAATTGTAAGCCCCTGAGTCTAACAACCTGCCACGCTGGGGCCCTACTTACTTAAAAGAAATACTGCAGGGCCGGCCCGGTGGGTGGCTTAGCGGTTGAGTGCTCGCACTCCGCTGCTGGCGGCCCGGGTTTGGATCCTGGGCGCACACTGATCCACCGCTCACCGGCCATGCTGAGGCCGCGTCCCACATACAGCAACTAGAAGGATGTGCAGCTATGACATACAACTATCTACCGGGGCTTTGGGGGGGAAAATAAATAAATAAAAATCTTAAAAAAAAAAAAGAAAGAAATACTGCAACGTAAATGACGTATTAGAACTGGCAGCCAAGACTTCTGGGGCTTCCCAGACCTGATAAAGAGACTGAAGGGCCCGCAACAACTATAAGCAGCTGAGCATTACAACAGCTGACAAGGATCATAACTCGGACATCCTGGGTGCCTACAGGGAGAGCAAACAGGCCACAACAGAAGGACACATGTAGTCCACATAGGGATCACCCCTGGAACATTGAGAACTGAGGGAAGCACACTGCAGACCTCCTAAGGCATCACTTATATAAGGTCACCTATCCAAGAGCAGGAGACGTGCTGACCTACCTAATACATAGACACAAGCACAGAGAAAGAGGCGAAATGAGGAGGCAAAGGAATACATTCCAAGAAAGAGAACAGGACAAAACCCCAGAAAAGGAACTAAGTGAAACAGAAATGAGCAACCTACCTGACAGAGAGTTCAAACAAAGAGTGTTAAGGATGCTTACTGATCTGGGGAGAAGAATAGATGAACTCAGTGAGAACGTCAACAAAGTAATGGAAGATATGAAAAAGAACCAATCAGAAATGAAGAATACAATACTAGAAATGAAAAATTCACTAGAGGGACTCAAAACCAGAGTAGAGGATACAGAAGAACGGATCTGTGAGCTGGACAAAAGACTAGAAGAAATTACCCGAGCTGAACAAGTAAAATAGAAAAGAACTAAAAAGAGTGAGGACAGTCTAAGGGACCTCTGGGACAACATCAAATGCACTAACATCCGTGTTATAGGTGTCCCAGAAGGAGAAGAGAGAGACAAAGTGGCGAGAATCTATTTCAAGAAATAATAGATGAGGGGCCGGCCCTGTGGCTTAGCGGTTAAGGGCACGCGCTCTGCTACTGGCGGCCCAGGATCGGATCCCGGGCGCACACCTACGCACTGCTTCTCCGGCCATGCTGAGGCCACGTCCCACATACAGCAACTAGAAGGATGTGCA